GTGGTTACAGTGAGCCCTGGGGGAGACCCACTGCTGCGCTAGTTTCAGATTTGACTCAGCACAGCCCCAGTGGTGGTGGTCACAGGGTGCTTGCATCACCCCACTCCCAGGTCAAGGCATCTCAGAACAGAGAGAGAAGGAATCGTTTTGCTTGGGAGAAAGCAAGGGAAGAGAAGAAGAGTCTCTGCCTGGTAATCCAGAGAATCCTTCCAGATTTTATCCAAGACCATCAAGGTGGTACCTCCATGAGTCTGCAAGAACCACAGCATTAATGGGATGGGGCGCCCCCAATGTAGATACAGCTTAGATCTTAGATAACAACACCCAAACTCTTTTGGATACATGGAAAGCTTTCTCAAGAAGGACAGGTACAGATAAGCCCAGATTGTGACAGTATTAAGAGGGAAGTTTATAACTGTAAGTGCCTACATCAGAAAAGAAGAAAAACTTCTAATAAACAACCTAATGATGCATCTTAAAGAACTAGAAAAGCAAGAGCAAACCAAACCCCAAATTAGTAGAATAAAAGAAATAACAAAGATCAGAGCAGAAATAAATGAGTTTGAAATGGAGAAAATCATACAATCAATGAACAAAAAGTTGTTTTTTTTAAAAAAATCAAAAGTGACAAACTTTTAGCCAGCTAAGGAAAAAAGAGAGAAGACTCAAATAAATAAAATTATAAATGAAGAAAAGGAGACAACCGATTCTGCAGAAATTCAGTGTTTCATTAGTGTCTACTATGAGCAAGTATATGCCAATAAATTGGAAAACCTGGAAGAAATGGATAAATTTCTCAACACATACAACCTACCAAGATTAAAGCATGAAAAAATCTAAAACCAATCACAATCGAATGAGTTCGAAGCGGTAATAAGAAGTCCCACAGCAAAGAAAGGCCTGGGACCCAATGGCTTCATGGCTGAATTCTACCAGATATTTAGGGAAAAACAAATAATAGTCCTGCTCAAATTATTTCAGAAAATAGAGGAATAGGAGATACTTCCAAACTCATTCTATGAGGCCAGTACCAAAACCAGATAAAGACACATTTAAAAAAAGGAACGTATAGGCCAATGTCACTGATGAATACTGATGCAAAAATTCTCTTGAACTCCCGACCTCAGGTGATCCGCCCGCCTTGGCCTCCAAAGTGCTTGGATTACAGGCATGAGCCACCACGCCCGGCGATGCAAAAATTCTCAACAAAATACCAGCAAACCAAATTCAACAACACATTAAAAAGATCATTCATCATGAAGTGGGATTTATCCCAGGGATGTAAGGATGGTTCAAGATGTGCAAATCAATTAATGTGATACCTCATATCACCAGAATGAAGAATAAAAACTGTATAATCATTTCAATTGATGCTGAGAAAGCATTTAATAAAACTCAACATCCCTTCATGATAAAAGCTCTCAAAAGGCCAGACGCAGTGGCTCATACCTGTAGTCCTAGCTCTTTGCAAGGCCAAGGCAGGCAGATCATGAGGTCAGGAGATCAAGACCATCCTGGCTAACACGGTTAATCACTGTCTCTATTAAAAATACAAAAAATCAGCTGGGCGTGTTGGCACACACCTGTATACCCAACTACTCAGGAGGCTGAGGTCAGAGAATTGCTTTAACCCGGGAGGCGGAGGTTGCAGTGAGCCGAGATCATGCCACTGAACTCCAGCCTGGGTGACAGGGTGAGACTCTGTCAAAAAAAAAAAAAAAATCCCTCAACAAACTGGATATAGAAAGAATAAACCTCAATGCAATAAAAACCATCTATGACAGACCTACAGCTAGTATTATACTGAATGGGGAAAAACTGAAAGCCTTTCCTCTATCTGGAACACAAAAAAAGATGCCCACTTTTGCCACTGTCATTCAGCATAGTACCAGAAGTCCTAGCTAGAGCAATCAGATAAGAGAAAGAAATAAAGAACATCTAAATTGAAATGGAAAAAATCAAATTATCCTTGTTTGCAGATGATATAATTTTACAATTAGAAAACCCTAAAAACTCCACCAAAAAACTATTAGAACTGATAAATTCAGTAAAGTTGTATACAAAATCAACATACAAAAATCAGTAGCATTTCTATATGCCAACAGTAAACAATCTAAAAAAGAAATCAAGAAAGCAATCACATTTACAATAGCTACAAATAAAAGAAAATACTTAGGAATTAACCAAGGAAGTAAAAGATCTCTACGATGAAAACTATAAAACTTTATGCAAGAAATTGAAGAAGACCAAAAAAAAAAATAAAAAAATGAAAAAGGTATTCCATGTTTATGGATTGGAAGGATCAATAGTGTAAAAAATGTCCATACGACTCAAAGCAATCTACACAGACTTAATGCAATCCCTATAAAAAAAAAAATCACCGGCATTCTTCATAGAAATAGAGAAAATCTAAAAATTTATATGGAATCACAAATGCTCAGAATATCCAAAGCTATCCTAAGCAAAAATAACAAAACTGGAAGAATCGAATTACCTGTAGTATAATCAAATTATACTCCAGAGCTATAGCAACCAAAAAGGCATTGTACTAGCATAAAAACAGACACATAAATCAATGGAACAGAATACAGAATTTTGGGTTCCAAAATTTATCTTGGGAACCCAAAGATACATCTATACATCTACAGTAAACCCATTTTTGACAAAGATGCCAAGAAAAGAAGATATATTAGGGAAATGATAGTCTCTTCAATAAATGGTGCTGAGAAAACTGGATATCCATATGCAAAAGATTCAAACTAGATACCTCTCACCATATAAAAAAATCAAATCAAAATTGAATAAAGACTTAAATCTAAGACCAAACCTATTCAATGACTAAAATAAAACTTTGAGGAAACTCTCTAAGACATTGGACGGGGCAAAGTTTTCTTGAGTGGTATCCTACAAACATAAGCAACTAAAGCAAAAATGAACAAATGGAATTACACCAAGTTAAAAAAGCTTCTGCAAAGCAAAGGAAATATCAACAAAGTGAAGAGACAACCCACAGAATGGGAGAAAACATTTGCAAATTACTTATCTGATAAGGGATTAATAACCAGAATATATAAGGAGCACAAACAACTCTACAGAAAAAAATCTAATAATCTGATTTTAAAATCGGCAAAATGGCCAGGTGCGGTGGCTCACATCTGCACTTGGGAGGCCGAGGCAGGTGCATCACTTGAAATCAGGAGTTCAAGACCAGCCTAGCCAACATGATAAAATCCCATCTCTACTAAAAATACAAAAATTAGCCAGGTGTAGTGTCACGTGCCTGTAGTCCCAGCTACTCAGGAGGCTGAGGCAGGAGGATTGCTTCAACAGGGTAGGCAGAGGTTACAGTGAGCCAAGATCACACCACTGCACTTCACCCTAGGTGATAGAACAAGACTCCATCTCAAAAAAATAAAATAAAAATAAAAATGTACAAAAGATCTGAACAATTTTGCAAAAGAAGACATAAAAAAATAACAAACAGGCATATGAAAAAGTGCTGAACATCATTGATCATCAGAGAAATGCCAATCAAAACCACAATGAGATATCACCTCACTCCAGTTAAAATGGGCTTTCTTTGAAAGTTAGGCAATAACAAATGCTGTGAAGATGTGGAGAAAAGGGAACCCTTATACACTATAGGTGGGAATGTGAATTGGTACAACCACTATGGAGAACAGGTTTGAGATTCTACAAAAAAAAGGAAAACAGAGCTACCACACAATCTAGCAATCCCCCTCCTAGGTGTAAAAACAGAAGAAAGGAAACCAATATATCCAAGAGATACCTGCACTCTCATGTTTTATTACAGCACTATTCACAGCAGCCAAGATTTGGAAACAACCTAAGTGTCCATCAACCAATGAATGGATAAAGAAAATGTGGTACATATAAACAATGGAGTACTCAGCCATGAAAATTTTAAAAAATGAAATTCTGTGATTTGCAACAGTATGAATGGAAATGGAAGTCATTAAGTTAGCTGAAATCAGTCAGGCACAGAAAGACAGACTTTGTATGTTCTCATTTATTTGTGAGAGCTAAAAATTAAAATAAGTGAACTCATGGATATAGAGAGTATAAGGATGGTTACAAGAGGCTGCAAAGGGTAGTGGGGAGGTAGGAGGGAAGTGGGGCTAGTTAATGGGTACAAAGCATAGAATAAGATCTAGTATCTGCTAGCACAACAGGGTGACTATAGTAAACAATAATTTATGTGTACATTTCTAAATGACTAAAAGTATAATTGGATTGTTTGTACTGGAAAGGTGAGTGCTTGAAGCGATGGATACCCCTTTCTCCCTGATGCAGTCATTGTGCCTTGCATGCCTGTGTCAAAACGTGTCATGTACTCCATAAACACATACAACTACTATGTACCCATGAAAACTAAAAATAAATAAATAAGCAACACAATCAGACCTGTATTTTACAAAAATAATTATGACATAAGTATTGAAGGGCAAGAGAAGTTTTTGCCAGCTGTTGAAGTAATTCAGTAAAGAAATGGGCACCAATACTAAAATGAAAGCAGTAGTGATATAGAGACATGACTGGAGGAACCCAAACACTAAAAAGGTAGAATTAATAGGGCTCTGTTACTGGGTTGAAATGGTGAGCTACCTGTTAGGAAATTTTGAAATCTAATTAGCATCAGATACAATGGTCTTATCCAAAGTAAACCATTTGGTAAGAATTTTGGCTATGCTTCCAAAATTAAGAATTCATCTTGCAGAGGAACTTACTATACCATAATTAGCTCATTATCAAACCACTGTTTTCCTTAACACAGCAGGTAAAAACTATGCATTTGCTAGTCTTTGGCAACTACGGTGAGGTTACATTGAAGATATTGTTCTTTGCAGCTTATAAGAAAGTGGGAACAGCACAACTTTTCCAGTTATAGGTTCTAAATTTTCGGAAATCTGCATCATCCTTCAGCCACCTATGGTGCATTGGCTGACCTGCATTCCTTGGGTTGGTCCTGTTTTTCCCAGGATGGATTATGAAGCTGCCCAGCTGGAGAAGCAGCATGTGCACAATGTGTACGAGAGCACAGCCCCTTACTTCAGCGACCTGCAGAGCAAAGCCTGGCCTCGTGTCCGCCAGTTCCTCCAAGAGCAGAAGCCAGGCAGCCTCATCGCTGACATAGGTAACCCAGCATTGGGCCTTGTAGCATGATATATCTTCCATTGAGCCTTTGCTTTTCAGATTCATTTTTCATTTTCGTTCTAGCAAGCATCCTGAAATTGCACCCTGGGCATGCCAGTACCTAGAATATTCATTTTACAGCAGAACCTCAGACAGTCAAATCAACAGCAAGTAGAAAACATTCTCAAACGTCTTTCTTTCTTTCCTCCCTTCCCTTCCCTTCCCTTTCCTTCCTTCCTTCCTTCCTTCCTTCCTTCCTTCCTTCCTTCCTTCCTTCCTCTCTCTCTCTCTTTCTTTCTTTCTTTCTTCTTTCTTTCGAGATGGAGTTTTGCTGTTCTCAGCCAGGTTGGAATGCAGTGGCAAAATCTCATTAGGCTGCAAACTCCACCTCCTAGGTTCAAGTGATTCTCCTGCCTCGGCCTCCTGAGTAGCTTGGAATACAGGTGTGCACCACCACACTGAGAAAATTTTTGTATTTTTAGTAGAGACGGGGTTTTGCCATGTTGGCCAGGCTGGTCTCGAACTCCTGACCTCAGGTGATCCATCTGTCTTGTCCTCCCAAAGTGCTGAGATTGCAGGTGGGAGCCACTGGCCCGGTCTCCAACTTTACATTTAGACAGTGTCTTCCCAGGGTCTTTGTGTACATCCTCCACCAAAATGGACCTTACATTGATTGAATAAATCAAGATGGAAATGATGGCTTGTGAAATTGATCATTGTAAATGTAAAGATACTCACGTTTGCCAAATGTGTTCTGCACTGGTGGCTCATTCTCAGTGGTTCACATGCCTTCTATAAAATGTGGGCTTATGGAAGAGGTCTAGTATATATATATGAAGTCTTATGAATCTCATGGGTCCTTTCCCTTAATTATTTTGTAGGTGTTTCATTATTATAGGAGCATATCTTTAATTAGACAATATTTTAATAATAACTTATTTATCTGGAGGGCATTGGTTCAGTATCTTTCTAAATCAAGAACTGGTAAACCACATCTTAGTAGATCTAAGATTAAGATTTAAAATGTGGTTGGAAACTCACTTGAGGCCTGCCCACATAAAACTGCTTTCTAGCAATTGTATGCTGACTGCACCCATGAGCCATAAGTCTGTGGTTGCAAAGTCTGTCTAATTTGATATTCACTCTAAATACTGGTAAGAGAAACAGACATATATCCAGAACTTATGGCTTGTTGAAGATGGTATGAGCAATGTGAAATCTGGGGAAGGGGTTCATGTCACATGGAAATTGGGAGTCTGAAAAAATATCTCTAGCATGTCAATTTAAAAATAATAAATCTTGTTTCAGAATGTGCAGTGAGTTGGGAACTCTTAACCACCTATAGTGTAAGTAAGCCATGTACCAGGATCTTAAAATCAGTGGGGAAAAGGAACTATTCAGTAAATGGCTTTGGGATAATGACATATATAATCAGAAAGCTACTTTCTTACACCTTTCATCAAAATAAGTTTCAAAAATGTAAGTATAAGAAAATGAGCTCATTAAAGGACTAGATGGAAAATCGATTGTTATTTAAAATATTCTCAGAGGCAAAATGCCTGTGTATGATACACATACAGAAAAGAAATCATAAGAGAATATACAGTTGATTGCCATTTAGTTACAGTACTTATGTTTCATATATGTATCATCAACATTGAATTAGCAAGTAGTGAATCATTATTCTTAGGGGAGATATAGGATTAGGTTCCTATAAGCTTCTGTTCCTAACATTTTTGTCAATTTACCAATATATAACCTTGTTGAATGTGTATTTCTGTTTAAAGTCACCTTGTTTGCTATGTATCATTATTTCACAAAATTGGACTCGTGGCCAACACACTACAACTCTTTCCTGGACAAAGCTTATCTAACACATATATTTTGTCCGTGAGGGACATCCCAGCCTTCTTATGTTCAGGAACACTAGACAGCATTTCAGCCCCATGCTTAGGCCATTTGAAACAGCAAAATCACCAGTAAAAACTGTAAAAATGAGAAATTGTGGCCCTAAATAGATTATGGAGAGAACATTCTATTACAGTATGGGAGCTGAAAAAAGAAGGCTGGGTATGTGGGTCTCAGGTGACTAATATTTTGCTGCACTGTGAATATATAAGTCTGATAATGACCATCCAATGCTGTAGTATTGACATTGGGGTTACAAATAAATTTTAGCAGGTAGATTAACTGCAAATATGGATTTGCTGTGATTGATGAGAATTAACTATATTTAAAGATAACTTTGACCCTATAAAGATGGAAAAGTTCTACTAGACAGGCATACAAATCAAGTCAAAAGACCAAAATCAAACTAAGCAAAAATAACTGCAACACATGTCATAGAAATCTAGATAATTTTTTAAATCTACTAAGCATTCTTCAATGTCACTGTAAAAAAACAACCAATATCCTGTCATTTGCAACAACATGGAGGAACCTGGAGGATATTATGCTGGTGAAATAAGCCAGGCACAGAAAGACAAATACCTGATGATCTCACTTATGTGTGGGATCTAAAAAAATTGGACTCGTAGAAGGAGAGATTAAAATGATGGTTACCTGGGACTGGGGTGTTGAAGCGGGTGAGATAAATGTAGGAAAGTGCAAGATGTTGGTTAAAAGATTCAGAGTATCAAACAGAAAGAATAAGTTCAAGAGAAAAAATACAAGTCAGAAGAAAAATAATGAAAAGATGTGAACAAATAGTTCAAAAAAGGAAAGGAATACACATTGTGTACACATATTTTAATAGGTAATCCATTGATACGGTTCGGCAACCAAGCACAAAAGGATGTGTAGTACAAAATATCCTCCCATCCCAGCCCCGGCACCAAGCAAGCCACAGCAGAGGCCGCTGACTCTGTTAGCTTCCTGTATGATCTTCTTGAGATATTTTATGCAGATATAAGCATATTTGTGCCTGTGAGTGTATTATGGGTAATTTCCCTTTTTTGGTTACACTAATGATAGTATGATATAAAAACAATCATATATCTAGCTTTTGTTGTAATTTTAATATATTGAGGAAATCATTCCATATTCATATTTATTATAGAGCTCCCCAGTATTAAAATCTGCCTAGCATTCTATGCTAATAGTGCCATATTAACGTTTAATATGTGTTGTTTGCTGTATTTTGCCACTACAAATTACCCTACAAATAGGCAGTGTCTCACACCTATAATCCCAGCACTTTGGGAGGTCGAGGACAGCGGATCAATCAGCTCAGGAGTTCGACCAGCCTGGTCGACCAGCCAGGAGACCAGCCTGAACATGGCAAAACCCCATTTCTACAAAAAATACCAAAAAAAAATAAAAAATTTAGCTGGGTATGTTGGCACATGCCTGTAGTCTCAGCTACTTGGGAGACCGAAGTGGGAGGACTGCTTATGCTTACGCCTGGGAGGCAGAGATTGCAGTGAGCCAAGGTGGTGCCACGGCATTCCAGCCTGGGTGACAGAGTGAGACCCTGTCTCAAAAGAGAAAACAAAAATGACAAATAATATTATTTAACTACCTCTGGGAAATCAACGACATCTGTAGTAAATATCTTTTTGGCCAATTTGTGTCTTTTGAATCTTGTACTATATATATTTGTAAACTATTCAACAAATAGTCATATTTTCACTTCAAAATGAAAGATACGTTTCAATAAAATCGAAGTTAAAGAAAAAGAATTGAAAAAGAAAGAAGTTCAAAGGGATAAGGAGAAGAAAAGACACATAATAATATGACTAACCTCTAAAGGAATGGTTTTTGTTTCTAGGATTTCCACTTAGCTAAAATCATCAGCTGTTTGATGAATAAACAATAGATCGGATTAACAAATATTTAAATTTTTTTCATTCAAATTCAAGAATGCCATTAGAAATGAATAGTGGGCAAATCAAGAGTTCCAGGACACTGGAAACATGTCAGAAGAAGAGACCTCAGTTTCCTCTTTATTACAAAACGCTCTCTGAACATTCCCCTCCCAGTTCTAAAGATCTGTGAGTCTGATTTTATTAGTAGCATTAAGTAACTTTCCTTTTCATTTCTCCTAAAGTATCCCTCAGGCCAGTGAAAAAGCCAATGAACTGCAAGGTTATTTTTCTTAAAATAGGATCATCATCTTTTGTAATACACAGGATTTTAATTTTAAAATACTTTATAAATTATATTTTCCCCATGATTGCCTTCATATAGTAGATACTTTTTCTCATAAGCATTATTGGGAACCATGTTATGAGATCAAAGGTGTTTCTAAGACCACAATCACATTTACATAGAAATAATAATGCTGGAATCTTTTTCTTTCTTTTTTTGAGATGGAGTCTCACTCCCTGTTACCTAGGCTGGAGTGCAGGGTGCCATCTCAGTTCACTTGCAATCTCCGCCTCCAGATTTAAGTGATTCTTCTGCCTCAGCCTACTGAGCAGCTGGGTTTACAAGTGTCTGCCACCACGCCCAGCTAATTTTTGCATTTTTAGTAGAGACAGGGTTTCACCACATTGACCAGGCTGGTCTCAAACTCCTGAGCTCAAGTGATTGGCCTGCCTCAGCCTCCCAAAGTGCTAGGATTATAGTCATGAGCCACTGCACCAGACCCAAAATTTTATATTTTATTCGTATATTCTCCACTGTCTAAGCTGGCATTAATGAACCTTAAGTTTGCTTTTATTGTATTATAATTTTAAAAGTGCCTAAAGAGGGGTTATTAGTGATCTGATGTATTTCAGAAGCAGCAAATTAAACATCTTTGAATAGTGGTAACTATTTTCTCAGGTTGAAAAATTGTATAGGTAATGCCAATAGATACAAATAAAGGCTCTAATAATTTCTTTTAATATTTCTGGAAAGGAATTAGATTATATATCCATGATAGAATATAATACTAAGTATTAGATTGTAGAAAGCTTTGTTTCAAGGTGGTTATTTATTCATGTTACTACCTTCTTCAATCATAACATCAGTAAGATCTCAATGGTCTAAATCTTTGGGCTGTGTAAATCCTGAATTATTAGGTCTCTGCCACTGGAAAGTGAATGTCAAAAATTGTCTATTTAAGAAAAAAAGTTTTTATAAGTCGAGTTGTATACTGGATCCACAGAGATCATTATAAATGTAGCACTGACAATAGAGCTTGGATAAAAACGATGTTAAAATTTCTCTTCTCATTCAAGTTCAAATTTTAAAAATGTGAAAGCCATGTTTTAATGTATAAATAATTGAAAAGTTGTTGACAGTCATTTGTTTGGCAGTCAGCAAGTGGTAAGAAACTTTGGGGAGACAACAGGAGAATAAACGCTGTAGCATGCATATATACATAATGAAATATAGATGTGAGCGTAGAGACTATACATGGCCTCTGGGATACTAGAAATGTCTTCCTTGCCATGGACCAGCTAACATGCCTTGGTTGTGCTAGTGTGCTGAGCCCTGTGGACATTATCTCATTAAATATTAAATAAATGTTATTTTTTTCCTATTACCTTTTTCTCTCTTCTATATGAAAATATGTAAGTATTCTCTGAAGGCTTTTCTTTTGCTTTTGTGAATACCTTCACACCATGTTGTATTCTGTCTTGGTTAGTTAAAAAAAAAGTTAATTATATTCCTTGATATGAGACAATTGAACCATTTTACACTTTCCATAGAGGACAGCATGTAACACAAGTTTTTCTCTTACAGGTTGTGGAACTGGAAAGTATCTTAAAGTGAACAGCCAGGTGCATACCGTGGGCTGTGACTACTGTGGGCCATTGGTAGAGATTGCCCGGGATAGAGGATGTGAAGTCATGGTATGTGACAACCTTAATCTCCCCTTTAGGGATCAGGGCTTCGATGCCATCATTTCCATAGGAGGTAAGGCCACAGGATCACACATTCCTTGAGTGAAAAAACAGCATGTTTCTATGATCTGTAACTATGAATTAATGTGATGTGGTTATTTTCAGTTAGATTTCACATTTAGAACTATATTATGGTAGCCAGGCATTGCGGCAGGCACCTGTAGTCCCAGCTACTTGGGAGGCTGAGGTGAGAGGATCATTTGAGTCTAGAAGTTAAGTTTGAGTCCAGCCTGGGCAACATATCAAAACAGTCTTCCAGCTTTGCTTGAGATTAATTTCCTCCTTGATATATTGGCAGGTCTGTGTAGGGAAAAATAGTTTAAAGTTTTCTCTTGACACAATACTGTGATTAAATTCCCCCAATAACTAATAGACTAGCACTTGCTGTGTATTTGTGGATAAAATTACACCTAATGACACACTTAGGACTTGATAAAGGCAGTCTTACTTGAAGCTCATTTTGCCTTTTGAGAAATTGAAAGTAAAATGATGACCTATACATTGATATTTAGTAGACACAACTATTTATATCTTATTATAAGCAATCAATTGGACTCATGCTGAGCTGGCTGATCTTTGCATTATCTAGATGGAGAAACAATCTTGAACATATTTCTGTACTTCTCAGCCTTATTAACACTTGCTAGCAGTATTAATCCTCCATTACTTTAGAAGGGCAGATTATTCACTAAAACAGTAAGTTACTTCATAGAATTCAACCAGGGAACACTTAGTATCCCTTTCAAATTTTAGTAAATCACATTGGCCATCCTTCTGGTTAAAAAAAAATCCATAGTATTTGGAACTGGAAGAGACTTTATGGATTTATGGACTCTAGACTTCTTCTTATACAGGATGAATCTTCAAATCTGTAGAACTTAAATATCTTGCCCAGGATCAGCTATCTAATATTAAAGTATAGGAGCCAAAGCTAAAAATCATGTCTTTCCTAAAATCAGGCCTGTGCTATTTCTGTCATCGTTGCCATGGAGAAAATAAGAAGGTTTTACTAGATGTCAAAATGTCATCATTGTTATATGGTAAATACCAGTATATGCGTATGTGGGTTTATGTGTGTGCACACACATTGATATCTAGTTTTGTCTTTTTCAGTCATACATCATTTTTCTACAAAACAAAGGAGAATCAGAGCAATAAAAGAAATGGCCAGGGTCTTAGTTCCTGGAGGCCAGCTGATGATTTACGTGTGGGCAATGGAACAGAAGAATCGTCGCTTTGAGAAGCAAGACGTGCTTGTTCCATGGAACAGGGCCCTATGTTCCCAGCTTTTCTCAGAGTCCAGCCAATCCGGGAGGAAGAGGCAGTGTGGACACTCAGAAAGAAGCCATCCTTACCATCCTCCTTGCTCCAAGTGTAGCTGTTCTGTTTGTTTTAAAGAGCAGTGTGGTTCAAAACGGTCCCACAGTGTGGACTATGAACCTGCTATGGCAAGAACCTGTTTTGCAAATATCTCTAAGGAAGGCGAGGAAGAATATGGATTCTACAACACTTTAGGAAAATCATTTCGTTCTTGGTTTTTCTCCAGATCTTTGGATGAATCGACTTTGAGGAAGCAAATTGAAAGAGTAAGACCCTTGAAAAACACCGAAGTTTGGGCCAATAGCACTGTAACGATCCAGCCTTCCAGACACTCTAGTTTAGACTTTGATCACCAAGAGCCATTTTCAACAAAAGAGCAAAGCTTAGATGAGGAAGTGTTTGTGGAACCTTCTTCTCAAAAGGACTTAGAGTGGCTGAGAGCACCAGGCACTCTGAAGCATTTAAATGGAGACCATCAAGGAGAAAGGAGAAATGGAGGGGGGAATTTTCTGGATAGCACTCATACTAGTGTGAATTGTGCGGGTGTGGGTAACTTAGAAGATGATAATCCTTCTGCTAGTAAAATATTGAGAAGGATTTCTGCAGTCGATTCCACAGATTCCAACCCAGATGATACAATTTCTGTCAAAGATCCACAGCCTGATACTTTGGACTCCAGAGCGTTTATGCGCTACTACCATGTGTTTCGAGAAGGGGAGCTCTATGGTCTGCTCAAAGAAAATGTGTCAGAGCTCCGTATCCTGAGTTCTGGGAATGATCATGGCAACTGGTGTATCATTGCAGAGAAAAAGGGAAGTTGTGATTGATTGGATCCTTTTAGACAACTCCAAAAGATGAACCCCATTCTTTTCGCTAGGTTTGAAATGGTTACATGAAATTGCATTCAGTTTTATTATTTGTTAATCCATTAATCCTTTGTCTGCAGAGACTACGAACTATTTGGTTGTTTTTCTTTTTAACTTTGAATAAGCACAGATCCTGGCACTGAAAGCACTTGACAAAGGGCATTTGTGCTTAAATGTTAATGTGAAAGATCTGAAGAAGCAGCAGAAAATGCCCGTCAGTACAGTTCAGATTTTTTTAACCCCTGAAAGATAAATACATGTATAGTGATTTTCAGTATTGCGCACTGGTTTAAAAAGATGACCCTGTTAAATAATCTTTTCAAACAGTATTTTTATAAAGTGAGGGGATAATTTCTGGTTCCTAGGTTATAACTGAGATCAGTGTGCAAGAAAACAGGGAAACTTAATCCATTGCACAGATAATACATTGAACCATGTGATGAGTTATTTTGTTGCCAAGGTCTTACTTCTACTTAAAGCTTTCAGAAAACTGAGTGACTGGAGAGACCCAAGAAGTGTAGCAAGGACTTTTCTAAATTATAAGCAAACTTGCTTCAAAATAAGTTGACACATGATAATAATGTTTTCAATGTAGCCCACTAGGTTTTTAAAGGCACTGTTAGGTTGAGCATGGTGGCTCATGCCTATAATTCCAGCACTTTGGGAGGCTGAGGTGGAAGGACCATTTGAACCCAGGAGTTCAAGAGTAGCCTGGGCAACATAGCGAGACCCCCGTCTCTATAAAGAAATTAAAAAATTAGACAGGTGTAGTGGTGCATGCCTGTTGTCCAAGCTACTCGAGAGACTGAGGCAGGAGGATCACATGACCCCAGAAATTCAAGGCTGCAGTAAGCTGTGATTGTGCCACTGCACTGCAGCCTGGGCAACATAACAATACTCTGTCTCAAAATAATAATAATAGAATAGACTGGGTGAGGTGGCTCATGCCTGTGATCCCAGCACTTTGGGAGGCTGAGGCAGGCGGATCACCTGAGGTCAGGAGTTCGAGACTGGCCTGACCAACATGGAGAAACCCCATCTCTACTAAAAATACAAAATCAGCTGGGCATGGTGGCATGTGCCTGTAAACCCAGCTACTCAGGAGGCTGCGGCAGGAGAATCACTTTAACCCGGGAGGCAGAGGTTGCAATGAAACAAGATCACACCATTGTACTCCAGCCTGGACAATAAGAGTGAAACTGTCTCAAATAATAATAATAATATAAAGGCACTGAATTAGCTTGTAAGGAGTGGAGTATGTAGGTACTAGGAGTTATGCAAGTACCCAAGTGATATTCTTCCAATCTTATTACAAGCATGAATATTCAAGATTGATATTATTATTGCCTATTAGCAAGATTATTATCAATCATGTTTATTAGAAGCATGAATATCCAAGACCAGGGTTGACTAGTGATGACTCTGCATCAAGAACTAGGCATCTATTTTGAGTTGAAGGACTCTTTAGGAAAGGAGAATCTCGGTGAAGCACTGATTTTCGCTCTGAGAACAAACAGATTAAGGTACAGCATAGTTAGCCTTGGTAGAGGTATGACTGGGATTTGCTATACCCTTTAAAATAGCATCTGGGCATTTATTCTATTGAAGGTCACTAAATTTTATTAGTTATGTTAGGAATTCAGGCAGAATTGGCTTCTACTGATTGAAGGTTGAATTTGTCACTTTGTAGAGAAACAAATAGAATGGATACTGTATGGTCACCGAATCTGTTTAGATTTGCCCACAGGTCTATTTAAATCTGTGTCATGGATCCTGAGACACAAACATAATTAAGACAGGTCTAGAGACTTACGACAAGCAGAAATAAGTTGGCCCAGGAATATCGTTTCAAGTAGTTCATTAATGAGAAAATTGACATTTGACAGGAGTCTTTTTACTTTATCCCGGATGAAAATCCAAATCTTGTTTTATTTTTCCACTAAAAGTAGTTTAATAATGAATTTCGTTTATTCTTGTGTTCTTTTTTCCTTTAATGATTGTGCTGTAACTTAAGGTAATTATGTCACTTTTGAGCAAACTTAAAGAACTATTTTTAAGGCATATCTGAAAACAATTGATGTTTATAACTCCCTTTGGCTCCAAAATAAGATTGTGTTATTACCATTTTGGTAGAACAAATGTTTATAACTCCCTTTGGCTCCAAAATAAGATTGTGTTATTACCATTTTGGTAGATGAGCTTGTCTGGTGGAAATGATACATATGATTTATACTGTTCAGTGTATATTTTGCAATAGTAGACAAATGAAAACAGCTATAAGTGGAGCATAAAATTAGACAGGTGTAAAAATTAATTTAGTGTCTTCTATTTCTTAATTTAGGACATTAAACCATGACTGTAAGTGATTTTCTTGGTGAAAAGAAAAGATTCTCAGAGTCGAAAATGTTCTTACAACTCAGGCATGATGGCTTTTGAATTATGAATGGATTTTTCCTCTCTCTGAAGCCAATTTTCACATGGGTTTTTAATCCTGGCCTTGCTACTAGAAATCCATGCTTGAAGTCATCTCTTTCTGATGGTAGCCTGCCACTTGAAAGTCATGACCTGGTGGAATTCAGTTTACCAGACTGCTAGCATCGCCTTTGAGCTAAACTGTCTGAGCAACCTCTTAGACATACACACACCACTTTGTATTAAAGGGTTCTCTAGAACAGTTCTTTGGAGAGAAATATTTTCATGTAATTTTGACAGGGGTGTAAATAAAGCGTGTCTTCATCTGATGAAAAGAAGAATCTATGCTTCCAGATATTATTTTGTATACAAATATTTAACTTGGTGATTGATCATCTCTCTTTGGGATAGTCACATGAAAAGCTCTTTTAAATTTAACTTCTGCCTTTGGATTTTTTTTTTTTAAAGCCATTGAAGAGCAAAACTAATGTAAACATCTTGATCATTTAAAAAGCTTATTGTCCTCACAAGGAAACACAAGTCATCAGTGAGTATAAATGTAGATGGTTCATTTGGGAATGTTGTCACCCTCAACTTGCTTGATGATAGAGTCTGCTGATCTAGCTGGAGTCATTGGATCACTTACTTCCTTATTAATACTAGATCAAACAGTGTCTTTGTGATTCCTTCTTCTTTACTTACTGGCATCAGCACAGACTCCCACTATCTGAAATAAAAGACAGAGTTTGGGGGATTATTGGAGGACTCTTAGGAAACTTTGTTGGGGGTCGGTGTGGTGGCTCACACCTGTAATTCCAGCACTTTGGGAATCCAAAGTGAGTGGATCACCTGAGGTCAGGAGTTCGAGACCAGCCTGACCAATATGGTGAAACCCTGTCTCTATTAAATACAAAAAATTAGCCGGGTTGATGGTGCATGCCTGTTATACCAGTTACTTGGGAAACTGAGGCAGGAGAGTCACTTGAACCCATGAGGTAGAGGTTGCAGTGAGCCGAGATCACTCCATTGCACGCCAGCCTGGGCAACAAGAGCAAAACTCGGTCTCAAAAAAAAAAACCAAAAAGCAAAAAAAAACCTTGTTGCCTTCCTGATGCCTCCTTGGCCTATTTGAGGAATTCCATGTGAAATTTCAAAGGATTTGGGGGAAAGTGCATTAACATGGACAAAGGATGGAATCAAACTAATGTTATTGTGGGAACCATGCAAGCACCTATTTACATATTTTCAATTGCCAGTGTAGTGATGACATGACACCAGCATATCAAAGACACTAACAAACCAGCTACACAGACATCTTGGAGTTTGGTTTGGCTCTTTTCTCATCACATATCTCCATGCAGAATAGTACTTACTCTTATTGCTAGTTTGCCTGTCTGTTTCCTTCCAAATTCTACATGCCAAGAGTTCATCTGTCTTTTAAGAGGTCATCAATTGAATGGACAAACATTTGAAGGTGATCCAGAGAGAAAACAATCCAAATATAAACCAGCTTGGAACATTAATGCACCTGAATATTAATGGTAAAAAAAAATAAGCACTGTGGATTTTTATATTAAATATATAAATTTATATATACATATATATAAATATATATAAATTTATATATACATATATATCTATATATGTGCGTTTGGAGAACAGAAGGTCTAACTCAGTAATTGAACTTGGTGAGAAGGTCTAACTCAGTAGTTGAACTTGGCGAGGGAGGGCACTGGTTAAATATGAGGTGTGAGCACCCAGTTTGGGAGGAAGGAGGAAATGGGGGACCAAGCACCAGCCAAGCAGCTGCAGTCTAAGAAGAACAAATTAGGGCAGGACCCAGCATCTCTTTCCTATTACATAAAAAATTTGAAATAAGAATAGCTGTGAACGTTTCTTAATATACAACATTAATGTTTTCATTTGCAGTCCTCACCACAGCCCTCTGACATAAGTACTTATTGTTCCCATTTTGCAGATCAGGGAAACTGAGGGAGAAAGAAATTAAATTGTTTAAGGCTACACATATAGTAGGTATCACACAGTTAGAGGCAGAGCTGGGATTCAAACCCAGGTCTGGCTCCTAGCCTCTGCTCTTAACCACAACACCGTGTACTCCCACCCCTGGACTCAGCTCACATGGTTTTTGGAGTATTGGAGCCTTTCAAGGTAAGCATGATTGGAAAGCATGATTTGGAAAGCCTTTCAAGGTAAGCATGATTTGGAAAGGTTAAGACACGATTACACAGCTAGACAGTAATTCAATAGTAATCTCTCATATATTTTCCCTTTTATCTTTTTTTAAATTTGTAATCTTTCCATTTTATTTGAATTAAAAAATAATTATTGGTGTCAAAATACTCTGGGACCACTTTTCTTCAACTCTTCAATCTATTAGCAATTATATGGTTTTACCACTTTGTAAGTAAGGTAACTGAGTACGATTCAGATATTTCATTCACTCCATTTGTTTACTCAGCCCTACTGTGTGCTGGCTACATACGATGCAAGGTAATGACTATCTGACATCTTGAAGGTGCCAAGAATATTAGAATTAACTGCCCTAAATGTGCCAAGCTGAAACATTCTTCATATTCCCTGGGTGCCCGTTACCAAGTTATATTGTTTAGTTTGAGAAAAACAAGAAACAACCCTCCCTTAGAGAATCACGATACATATTAGCTATTTAAGGACTACCCTAAAGCTTGGATTTAATCTAGCTTGACCTAGACATATTAACATCCTGTAGCACAAGCATTCTGTGGGATATACTTTCAGGAAATAATATGTCCTACAGAATAAATTCAGACTCCTTTGGGTGACATTTAGGCCCTTCATAAACTAACTACAAATTATTTTTCAGTCTCCTTTCCTGCAATTGCACCCAATTTTTCCTGTTCTGTAATCTGCTATTTTAGACAATGCTTTCATAAGAAATTACATAATGACAAGTAATTCCCACATTCTCTAGATATATACTTGGATTTCAAATGCCATAATTGTAATCTTTCTCCAAAGAAAAATGCACGATACAGGCCTCATTCCATGAAGAGGCATATGAGGTAAGTGTTATTATACACCCGTCCAACAGATGGGAAATCCACGGAAGTGGAAGGGAATCAGAGAAGCATTGACAGACCTTCAACCAACCATGATGCTTAACTCCTCTTTTTCCAGTCTTAACTCAAAATTATGATTATTTTGATAGTATAAACTCCATATCTGCAACCTCAGTTATCTACAAAACGGAAGTGCGAACATTTAAAAAGAACTCTCACCAACCAAGGATTGAAATTGTAATGCAAATAGAAAGGGCTCAGCATGAGAGCACAATCAGAAACCGAAGAGAGTTGATCAAAGAGAAAATTCTAGCTGAACTGTCCTATTTTTAATTTCCCAGGGATCCTACAGTATACAACACATTAACAGGGGTGCGAATCATTTCAGTTATGTCACATGCTCTGTCCTCTTGTGATATGGGTCTTCCCCAATTGATTATGCACAGATATTCAATGACTTTATCTGGGAGGGATTGGAGCTATGGTACAATCTATCTGACTAGTCTGATGGACCACTTGTAAGAGCCAATTGTCAAATTGGATCTTCATTTGACAAATACTAGAGCTGCAGAAAGTAAAGTTTACTCCAACCCAATTAGTCATTAATCCACAGGAAACAATACATTTTCTCCACATGGAATACTGCTTTTTCTATGAGTATTACCTCCACATTGAAAAACGAGTGAGTCACTACAGTTAACCTGTAGCCAGTCTGCCTTGATGCTGCATGCCCTGAAGAAGGTACAATTAAATTTATGTTCCCTCAGCAAGGATTTGGTTAAGTGATAAGCACTTTTCTTTTTCTTTCTTTCTTTTTTTTTTTTTTTTGAGATGGTGTCATGCTCTGTCGCCCAGGCTGAAGTGCAGTGGTGCAATCTCAACTCACTGGAACTGCCTCTGAGTTCAAGCGATTCTCGTGCCTTAGTCTTCTGAACTGGGGTTACAGGAATGTGCCACCACTCTTGGCTAATTTTTGTATCTTTTTTTTTTTAGTAAAGACGAGTTTTCACCGTGTTCACCAGGCTGGTCTTGAACTCCTGACCTCTTGTGAGCTAATCATACCACTTCTAACTAGATTTTCTATTAATATACGAGGAGGGACTCCACTGCTAAAGTTTGTTTTTCTTCTCTAGTTATTTACACAGAACACTGGCAATCCGTTAAGGCTCACTAATATGGACCTAAATGAAATTTCTGAGAGGTTTTGAATATGTATGTGCAAACTGTCCTATTTTCTTTATATGCTCTCTTAAATATATATGTATGTAAATATACACACACACATATATATATTCCTAGACATCTAGTGTTTGCTTTCACAGTGACCAAGAAAGAAGAGTTCTTTTGTGCACTCATGAAAACATAAAATTAGCAATTACCATAGAAATGTATTTTATTGAATACATAGATTTTTTTTTTAATTTCAGGGAAATTTAAAACAATTATTAGATGTTATTGTGCCTCTTCTTGTGTTGATGTGTGCATTTGGGTCAAAAGTGCAAAAACATTTTTTTACAATATACAGTTATTTTGGCTTTTCCCAGAGGAACTAGCAATAGTTTTTAAAGCACAAATAGTTGGAAAATATTTTGACTGTTATAATAATGTGAAGAAATTTTATTTGCATTAACCAATAATGTTCAGGATCTTTTTGTAGTAAGTATTTTTTAATGTTGTAATTTGTATGTTTATGATATGTATTCAATTATTTAAGTTAGGTATCAATGTATTTTTTTAAATGTTCCCAGAAGAACAAAATTTTGCTTTCTTCTCCATTCTGTGCAGGGCAAGCATTGTTCAATTCACACAGTCAGTTCTCACTACTGTCAACAGAATGGGCAAGTTTGTACTTGAATTCTCTGGTCTTTATCTAAGAGAAGCAAAATTAACCATTTAATAATAGATTATCTTTAATGGTTAATTAAAAGAATATTATTGACTAAAAAGACGTATTTTGAGATTAATAAAGATGTATTAGACTATCCAGAAGTGGATGCATGCGAATGTGCTCCTAATCTGGAACGGATGTCATTTTTTAACATTGCTTGGGAGGTAGGCAAGTTTGCTCTCTTTCCTGACCTGCTCCATATGCAGCTTGTGAGCTCATTATCAGCGTGGGGGTGTGAAGAGAAGGAGGATTTGTGCCCACCCTGCTGTGGCTCTCATGCCGCTTAGAGGGGATGCAATCTTGCAGCAGATGGTGCCCTGGCATGGCGCAGCTTGACGGCTCCTCTGACGGAAGAAGCTGCTCCATCTCCCCCAGCATCAGTTTGGCCCTCAGGTGGCTGCTTGAAAGACAAAAATGTTGACAAATGAAATACACCCCGTGCTGACCTTTTGGCAAGAATCAGTCAGACCTCAGTCATGTGCTTTGTACGCTGCCAGAAACCTCCCTGTTTAAAAACACTACTAGTTACTGTCTTTGGAAGCCATCCCTTCTTCCATCTTCGTGCTCCTTTTCTATTTTTGAATTATCTAAGCATGAATTCAGCTTTAAAATTATATACTTAACAGATGTATAGCGGTTTTGCAGTTTTCTCAATGGGTGATATCAGAAAGCAACTGTCAACGTCAGTACACTTCACCCCCCACCCTATCCCTGGATGCAGGGCACAGAAGATAATCCCCATGCATACACCCTCAGTGCAAGGAAAAGCAGCAGATGGTTGGGATACCAGAAACCTTGGAAGTCACTGACTCTGAGAAGGAGTGATTGCAAAGCCAATATCCAGATCCATATGCTTCTTCCTGCATTCCTCCACATGCACCTGTGTTTGCGTTTCTCCAGGTAGCTGTCCTATGCGTTTCTCCAGGTAGCTGTCCTATGCGTTTCTCCAGGTAGCTGTCCTATGCGTTTCTCCAGGTAGCTGTCCTATGCGTTTCTGCAGGTAGCTGTCCTGTGCATTTCTGCAGGTAGCTGTCCTATGCATCCATGCATATCTCTGTCATACTGCCGCCCACTCAGGTCCCATCTTCAAAGAAATGCCTCTGATCCCAGAGTTCCACGTTGATCTTCTCCTTCACCATCCTACAGCCCTTTCTTTGTGTTTGGGGTATTTTACAGCACTAATTTTATTCATCTTTAGCAATTAAAAAAACCATTCTACATCATCTACAATTTTTTCTCTTACATCTCTACCAATTCTTTTTAAACAGGAGAGTTGACTAAGGCCATTCCAGCTCCAGTCACTTTTCCACCCATCACAGTCATCCCTCCGGATCCCTGGGTTTCACCTCTGTAGATTCAAGCAATATTTGAAAAAAAGAGATTGTGTCGGTGCTGAACATGTACAGACATTTTCTCTTATAGTTGTTCCTCAAACAATAGAGTATAACAACTATTTACTTGTTAAATAGTGTGTGATGTATTATAAGGAATCTGAAGATGATTTAAAGTATAGGGGAGGATGTGTGTCAGTAATATGCGAATACTACGCATCATTTTTATATCAGGGACTTGAGCATCACGGATTTGGTATCCAAGGGGGTCCTAGAACCAACCCCCAATGGATATCAAGGGACCACAGTGCCTATCCTCCATATCACCCCTGCCATGACCTCCAGAAACAAAGAATCATTTGCATTTTTTTTTTTTGAGATGTAGTTTCACTCTGTTGCCAAGGCTGGAGTGCAGTGGTGTGATCTTGGCTCACTGCAACCTCCACCTCCCTGGTTCAAGCGATTCTCCTGCCTCAGCCTCCTGAGTAGCTGGGACTGCAGGTGTATGCTGCCAAGCCCAGCTAATTTTTTTTTTTTTTTACTTTTAGTAGAGACTGGTTCTTACCATTTTAGCCAGGATGGTCTGGATCTCCTGACCTTGTGTTGTACCCACCTTTGCCTCTCAACGTCCTGGGATTACAGGTGTGAGCCACCACTCCTGGCCAATCATTTGCCATTTTAAAGGACCTACTCAAAATGAGCAACAGAGGAGCTCTCCCACCTGCCTCCAACCCCCCACCTGCCTTCAGCATTATGGGGAGGAAGAGTCCCGGCCCTGGCCAATGGAACTCAGCTCCTGGGATCAGCTGTCAGTGGAGGCTCATGTCCCAGCGTTGTAGACTTCCTGCATCTTAAGTCTCCTCTTACAAGATAACCTCTCCTCTCAGGCCCTTAGGTCCAGGTCCCCTCTCTCAGCCTTCTCTGAAATCTCCAGTGTGAAGAATTCGTGTTCATTTATTTGTTAGATTTTTGTTTGAATACTGATGAAAACTGATCATAAGGGCCTGGTCCTCAGAGTTAATCATCCAAGTTTAAAAACAAAAACCACAGTGAACAAGATTTGGCCATTGTTTTTCTCTTGCAAAGAAACATCTCACAATAACTGAAAACGAAGGGCGTGGTAAGTTGAGATAGAGATATCCCTTCCTTCCCAACACCCACCCCCTAAAAAATCAGGGTAGGCAGGCCTGTGTTAGAGCTCTCCTGCTCCAGAAGAGAACTCACAGTCACTTTGAAGTGAACCCCACTCATCTTTGAGAGGCCAGGGCCCCCAAAGGGTTTACCTGGGGAGACGGCTGCATTAAGAAGAGGGTGAGAACAGCCCCACTAGTCGGCAGCTGGTTGCACCAGTGAGCTTGAGCTCCCCAGACACTGCCTAGGAGTGGTAGAAACCTGACTTGGAATAGCCCCGGATGTAGCGCTGAGCCTGAGCACTGGCCTGCATGCCCGGGAAGCTTGACAAAGATTCCTGTGTCCATGCGTGGCTTGAAGTGAGTGGCACTGCCACCTTCAAACTATATGGGGGGGCCACTTCCACCGCCTGGTTCTTGCTGCATGGGGAATCGCTGTTCCCACCCCAGAAGCAACTACAAGTTGCTCATTAAAAGAAATGTAGCTGGACCCCAAAGTTCCATGAAATAAGGTGACTCCAGGAGAAGCTGATTGTTAGGATGCCCAACTCAACCCACACTCCGTTGTTTGGCTAAGGAAGGAACTTCAGTGTGAAGGATTAAGTGTCCTGCACGCCCCATATGGGTAGAACTCTCCTGCTTCAGGGGTTAAGAAGCTGTCCTGAAGTACCCCTCATCCATACCATCTTGTGAGCTCTCAGCCCTCAAATGAGGTGATCTATGAAGAACTAGAGTTTTTTCACTACCGTATCATGTTGGGACCCGAAATAGGTAACCACCCTGAGAAAGAAACAGAAAACACTGGAATGTAAAGACCTTGTTTCCCTATCATTTTAAAGACTTCAATTTTTAAAACTGCCATTTCTCTGCTTTTCTTTTTTTCAACATTTTCTGAGCAATTCCTATAGATAAGGGAGTTTCCAGGAGCTGTTGGAGATTTTATGGGAAAAAGATTCAGTATCTGATCTTGCAGAATTTAAAATTGGCAGGGCGGATAGGATGGGCACAGCTCTCTTTCTAGGATATTATTCCACTCTCCAGTTGGCCTGACTTAATCATGCTTCCAGCTCAGCTTCAATATGCCTTTCCAAGGTAAGCCTTTGGGGCCCCGTCCCTAATGCAAAAGAGACACTAAAGTTATTTTCCTGCTCTGTGGTCCCAGAGTTGTGTGAATTTCCTTTTGAAATTAATCATGCATGTCTGTGTATTTATTTATTGAAAAATATTTATCTGCCAGAGTATATCTGTCACCAGGGCAGGGATTTGTCTGCCTCTTTCACTGGAGTACCCACAGTGCCTTGCATAATGCTGGTCCTGTTGGGGGTACCCAGGAAACATGGGTGAATGAATTATCCCTCGCTCTGAATGAGGGTGCTCAGAAGTAGCAGTGAGCCCTGGGACCCTGCGGGAAGAAGAGGGTTATCATAAAGGAGGTGACTCGAGGCTGCACCTCACAAGATGAAATCTCGGTAGAGCAGAACAGGAAATTTGGACAATGGCGAAGAAAAGGGAAGCTCAGAGTCAATTCAGTAAATGGATGATGACAATGATGGTACCATGTATCAAGTGGTCACTTTATGCCAGGAACTCTTATATTCGTACCATCATTTATTTGTTACACAAACCATGAGGGGTAGGTACCACTAAACCCTATCAATTGATACGAAAATCAGAGTTCACAGAGGCTAAGTTCCTTGCCACAGTCATATGGATGGAAAGTAAAGTCACTGAGCTTTGCATTTGGACCTGGACCTAGAGTTGTTCAAACCCTGGTTCTACCCACCCCACAGAAGTGTGTGTGTGTGTGTGTGTGGTTTTTTTGTTTTGTTTTGTTTTGTTTTAGGGTGAGTACAAGGAGAGAAAAGTGGAGAAGCAAATTGCAGTTTGATTCTTATGGGCCAAGAACACCACTCTAGGGGATTTAGACTTTAACCTAATCACACGTGTTTATTTCTTCAAATGCTACAGAGCCTTTGAATGTTTTTGAGCAGATGCTTTGGAAAAATACCTCTGGAGAAGAGAGAAGGTGAGGGAGTGGAGGGGAGATTCTGAGATTTGAGGGGTCTACAGCAGAGGGTTGGGAGACACAGTAGGGAGCTGAGACAGTAGGTCTAGAAATGAAACTAGGACACGTCCAGACCTCAGGTGGAATCTGGTTAGAGAGCCAGAAAGAACAAAGAGAAAAAATACCTCCTAAGTTCCCACCTGGCTGCCCAGGAGGCTGTGAGGCTCTTAACAAATATAGCATACCCTTTAACAAACAGAGGTGTCTGCAGGGAGTCCTACAGATGAAACGTGGAATGAGGCTGCCCTCTCCTGGAGGATAAAAGCCGGATACTGAATCGAAGTCCTCATATGCCCGGGACAACTTATTATTATTATTACGTTATTTTCAGAGACAGGATCTTACTGTGTTGCCTAGGCTGGAGTACAATTATGCAATCAGCTCAATGTAACCTCAATCTCCTGGGCTCAAGCAATCTTCCTGCTTCAGCCTCCCAAGTAGCTGGGACTACATATGAGTGCCACTAAACCCAGTTTTTTGTTTGTTTGCTTGTTCTTAGAGAGGAGGTCTTGCTGTGCTCCCTAGGCTGGTCTCTATGCTACATAAACAAGGTGATGCTACCAGGATATTTTTTTTTTGGAAATTTACACACACACACAAATCTGCTAAAGTAGTTAAGTCGCAGGATTCCTAGTTCTGGGAGAAGGGTTATATTTTCTGCCTTATCCCCAGCTATTGAGATTATTTGAATTATTTGACCTCAACTTCTTGTATTAGTTCATTCTCACACTACTAACAAAGACCTACCTGAGACAGAGTAATCTATTTTATTATTTATTTATTTATTGTTTCTTGAGACTGAGTCTTGCTCTGTCACCCAGGCTGGAATGCAGTGGCACCATCTCAGCTCACTGCAACATCCGCCTCCTGG